GGAAGTGCGATTTACTTGAGCTGGCAGCAGCCTAGGCTTTTTTGTGCCTTTGCGAAAATGTGTGCAGTACAGAAGCGTTGATAAGGCTGCGGACAAAGCCTCTGATAACGCGCTCAGTTTGAGCAAAGTTTGACTTAAAGGCACGCTCCGCGATCAGGCGGGCTCGCCTGTTCCATCCCGGGGTAGTAGGCAGGCGGACAAGCGTTGATGTCGGCCCCTTTTGCGGCTTGAAAGTGCGCGACAAAGGCGCAAGGAGCTCGTCCGACCCGCAACTCACACCTTCGTCCGCAAGCCCCACCCTCCGCTGTCGGTTGCCACGTGGCGCTGCTTGAAAAGCGCGGGCGCATTTGAGGCAGCGGTCCCATTGCGATCCAATGTCATTGGCACTGGAGCAACTAGAGTTAGGTTCGTGAAACTCGTCCAATTCGCCTATCTCCAAGGTGGAATGTGGCTGAAATAGGGGAGGTCTCTGTACGGGGCGTAATCGGTGGTTTCGTTTGCTTTCCTTCTCTTTTACAGACCACCTCCCACCTATAGCTTCATAACTGAACGCTTTTCCACACCTATTTTATCCCGAATCTTGCCTTTAAAGTAACGGTTGAATAACATCGAGGGAACGGAGAAACGATCCTGAGCCAGGTACCGGATATTCTTGCTTAGTCCTGGGAGGGGGAAGAGACGGGTGGGAAGAGAAAGCCTCACAGTGGGTGGACCGCTAACCACGACCGAAAAACTGGATAGGGTGAGTAGGATGTGAAGCACTTCAATGGTTCTCATCACAAAAGCCGTCCAATGAGTTTGTTACTAAAGTTCTTAAACTTAGCGCTAGTTGCATACATAGCGCTGGAGAAGCAGGTCACAATGGGGAAGGGAGCGCCCCGACGCAGCTTCACCTGCGCTTTTTCGTTCAGGGATCCTTTAAAAGCAATACAAAAGGTATCACAGATGAGAATAATATCGTGGTCGGATCACTTATACGCTGTCTTACAACTTTATACTGACTGCTCGACTTTGGTGATTTTATAAATCCATAAACCGTTTTCCAATTCCGAAGGAGCCCATGATGCCTTGGAAGTAGCGATCGGCTATAGAGATGCCGATGCAACCTACCCAGAGTGGCTGGGATACTGGATTCTACAGCATCACAAAAAGTTTCACCCATACTATTCGATGTCACTATCGTAAAGGAGAAGTTCGCTCCTATTGAAAGGGAGCAGTTGTGCCACGAAAACGTCAACAAAAAGCAAAAACAAGTAAAAATCCGGACGGAATGGATAAAGTGGCGCTAACAATGCAGAGTCATTAAACACTGCATTCCGAAGATGTTGTTTTTGCAATCATAAAGGAAGCAAGCTGAGTTCCTGCGAGTAATTGCTTCAAAAATGTGGCGGGCGGCCGCTCGACCGTTGAAGAAGGGGAGCTCTTGTTCGGCGTTTTGAAGAACGCTGGCATTCACTGAAGTGTGAAGAGCAGCAAGTAGCGCTATTGAAGCCCCAAGTGCCCTAACGAACCGCAATCTGCAACGTTTTTCAACATTCTCCGGAAAGAACAGGCTTATTCTGGGATGTCCAGCGTATACAATGAAGGCGTACTTGAGCTCAAGTTGGCGTTGCTCAAGCTCCATTCATGCCCTCTATAGCGCAGTTTCCACAAGTTTTCAAATATTCAAACCACTCACGAAACGCGAGTATTTGTTTATTTATGGGAATTATTTGGAGGTGGCCAGCGGCAAGAAGATGCTAGTTTTACGTCAACCTTGGTCTCCTGGATCAAATCCAGCTCAGGCTCTTCAAACCATCCCTCTCCAAGTAGCTGGATATCGATAGCAGGCTCTCGGGTAGCGTGAAATGAAGTATTTCGAAGCTGCTGCACAGGCTAACCAGCATTTCAAGGGCTACTTCCATTTCGAGTAGAGGAGGAAAGCGTGGCACTGGTGGGGATTGACCGTTACTCAGTTGCGTGCCCTCTGCGAATGCCTATCATTGCTAGAGTTTTACGTACAGAACTGCAATGAGGCGGTGTGGAAGGAGCTGGAGCTGCCCCACAATGTATCGAACACAAGTGGTGCCGCTCAGAACTTCTATCAGCGAGTAGTTCAAAAATGCGGCTTAAAAGTGGCATGACTCTTTTTGGCAAATCTTGACCGTTTGTTGGTGGCCTGCTCCCGCTTTTATGGTGCGTTTACGTCAATTTTTCCGGCCGAAATTCTGAGTGGGAGAAGAGTTTTTCCATAAATTCATATCCACGTGTAATTAGTCACGCTAGAGCTCCTTGATGGCTCATCAGGTGGTTCTCCGGGCACGTCGGACTATAGAAAATCGAAACAAACCACAGTTTATAGTAGACTGGGAAGGCTCAAGAGTTTCTTGCTTCATTTCAAGGGCTAGAAATGAATATGAAGTATTGAATAACTGTTACCAAAGTCTGGTAGGACAATTGGGAGCTCTCCGTAGAAAACTGGCTGAAGAACAGTTCATAGCTTCTTTTGAATACGGGAGCAACGAGTAGAGGAAGTTGAGTTAATGATTCTCGCACTCGGTGAGGTGTAATGGAGAATGATGAAAAACCTGGTTGATTAATGTGGGTCATCCATCAACCATGCCCTGCGTCAGCGACTGACGAGTTGCGCGAAAAAATCTATCGTCTCGTTGATTTTCTAAGCTCAAAAAACCGATCGAACGTAGCTTTTTCAACAGCATGAAGCTTTAAATTTTATTAAAACACTAAAATTACACCCATAGCAAAAAATTCAGCTCTAAAATAGAAAACATTCTTGACTGCAGTGAAAAGATAAGAAATGTCAATGAACAAACTGCTAGTTCAATTAAAATATTAGGAAAGGTTACCACAAGAATGCTCAGCTATAGGAAAACCCTTTGTCAACAAAACTCACACCGTAATTCCTACTGGGCGGGAGTGGTACCATCAGACCATCAGGCCATGGTTCACCTCAAATTAACTTTAATTCACAAGTACATATTTCAAGATAATTAAACCCATCGGCCAACTAGCTACAGTAGGTTAATCTTCTTGGGTGTATTACAGTGTCCCGTCCAAGAAGCTGACAACGATAACAATGATAATAAGTTGAATGAAGAAATTTTCCGCCAAAGAGCCGTAGCACAACACTTTCAAGTAGCCGGTTGGTGAATGAATCTCCACTATTCGGCAACAATCAACGTGTTCAGCCACTATATAAGTTCCCAAACCTCAGACCTAAACTATAGACTATATCCCAGAATAGTTTCTCCTTTTCTCCCGTTTATCATAAACAGTGATTTCTCGTACCTAAGATATACGAACAACGATAAACAGTTAGTAATACCAGTTTGAACGATATATATTTCTACTCTCAAGGAGCCTTATTGTGCAAATCTAACAACTATTCCGAAGTGGCGCGTTTCGCCGTGTAATAGCAAAAGCTATTGCGATGCAGACCAGACACTCACCCGTGTTCAACTTAAGAGCGGAACAAGCTAATGTGTACGCGTGTAACATACCAGTCAAAATTATTCGAGCTAGACCGGAACATATAATTTGTGTCTCTGTTAGACATTTTCAGTGCAAATTCTAGTTAGTAAAATTCCCAATGCCACCACGCTCCATCACAACTCACCCTCGCACGTCCAATTCGTTATTTCAATTCCAGAAATTAGCCGTCCTATGCCCCAATAAGAATCACAAGAAAAAAAATCCAACGCTCCTTACATCGTTCGTCTAGTATTAATAAAACTGGCATAGCATCCTTTGTATCATCAATCTTTCATGAATCATTCAAGTGAAATGGGTTTGACCAGAATCCCCCCTCCACACGATACATGAATGCAATTGGGGCAACAGATTTTCTTTGACGGAACTGAACAAAATCTGCTCTATCGTAATGGGAACATTAGTGGTAGTATTTTAACTAAGTAAAATCACATCTCGTCCTTGACCAAATTTGTGAGGGATATCGCACGCTTCCTATTTGCGTCGACGACGTGTAAGGATTTGTTTCGCCACTTCCTCTCGGATTGGCGTGGCCCGTAAGATTATAAGCCAGTCGTAGCGTTCGTTGCTAGGCTCGATGGGATGGTGATCGCCTCGCTCTCAGCTCTCCAGTCGTCTCGTCACCTCAGCATCCATCGACCACGGCAAAACTTATTCGAACCAACTTTTTCTTTATGAATTTGCTAGAGGTGTTTTTCTTGCCTCGGTTGGGGTTTCACTGAGACAACGAATTCGAACTGTTTTTGTTCTCCAATTCACAAGCTGGACACAGGTACTGTTTATTTGTTTTTGTTTGGTCGGCCTGAGTTTTGGACATTTTGCTTGATTGATTTTGAGCCCTAAGGATTGCATTCAAAGGAAGCTAGAACGTTTTTATCGAATTAGAAAAACAGAGTGAACCTATTTATTCTGAATGCCTCAGTGATGGTGAATTTTTTCATCCCCCACCGGGAATATTCACTGTCAGTTCATTTTGTAACGACTCTCATATATGGAATCACACCGGAAATAGCTAGAATGTAAGGATTTGTGAAGGCGTTGAATAACTGAATTATTATTTTTTAAAGAAAATGTCGAAAGCTTTGCTATTTCCGCAGCGTTCTACAACTGCATGAAGCAAGGAAAGCTGTCGTACCTTTGACTTCTAGGCTTGAAAAAGCTTTTAATACATTTGTCCTGCGCAAGTACTTTTATTTACGCATATTTTTACTTTCACTCATATTCCAAGATATCAAGAGACATCGCGGAGAGATACGAATTGAACAGTCCTCTGTGCTGGGGGGAATGGTACCGTCAATACCTGTTTGCTAGTGTGTGCCGCCTACCTGATCCAAATAGAACGCTGCTTAATACTAAACTCACTACTGACATTATCGCAAGATCGAGGCATTGTGCTGGCAAT